GATTTTAGTCAAAAGAAACCCAAAGATTGATTTCTTTTTAAATTATCTGATTAGTTGTTTTCAATCTTTCCTGGGGTCATTCCATCCTTAGAATTTGGAATGGACCTTGCCTAAAAAACAAAAAACATCTATTGAATACTTTAGGGTACACAAAAAGTCACCGGGACACATATTGACCATTGGTGGCCTTACGTTCAGGTTCTACGATGGCTCCTTTACCTTGGAACTGTGGCTTCCTACAATGTGTGCTTTGCTCAGTGTGTGTCCATTCAAATGCACAGCCCCATGGCCAGCCGCTGCTCTGGTTCCTCCTCTTTATAGCCAAATTAATGGACAGATGCTGCTTCACCAGTCCACCCAACACACTGGGACTGGTTCCAGGGTGGAGCTACTTTCTTAAGAGGCTTGGAGTCCTTGTAGAGGCCCTAACAAGCCAGCTAGCTACAGCTGGGTTTGTTACCTCCAAGCCTCCAGCCCTCTCAGCACTTCCCCCTAGAGGACAACCTTAAGTACAACGCTTGATTCTGGCATATACCTCTCTGCCATCCTGGCTGGACCCATACGTGTTAATCTGCCTGCTACCACAGTATGTTCTCCTTGAACTTCTACTGAAAGTTCAGAGAAAGCTACACTGAGGGAACCAGAGCCGGCAATGATCAAACGTGCCTCAAGTACATGCATCTTCAAACCAGCCGCACTCCACGGGTCTTCATGCATAAAATCAATCGTTATTGTCAGAAATCATCCAGTGTACACCATGGAACCGCTCCCCCCCATGTACAACCCCCCCAAGTGGTTACCTAACCCTAACCCTAACCCGTGGAGTGTGGCTGGTTTGAAGATACATTTACGGGAAGTGGGAACACACTTTTAGCCTGCACCTGGGACATGCTTACGGTGCAAGACCGGTTTAAGAATTTGAGACGTGGGAGTCTCGGCAATTGTGCCTCAAGTAAGTGTTACTGCCAACGTAACCATAAAATTATGTAGTAGGGAATGTTAAATAGGCTGCTTACAATGCATTCTTTTAAAAAACTTGAGGGCATGTAATGCTTCATTACCATTTCCCACCAATCACTGCTACGCTATGGCACAATTTTCATGGTGCACTTTATTTAGCTTCCGCAAATCTGTCCCTACCATGATGGGACTGCTATGTTTTGGTTGCCACTTACCCCAAAGGTGTCCGAATCCACCTCTGAAACACTGTAGAGGAAGTGATGTTTTAGTATTGTCATCAGCACGGGCGGTGAGGGACACGGGCACGGGCGGTGAGGGACACCTTTTCTAGTGATGCTCACCGCACAAATTACAATCCTCCTGTACAGTCTTTGCACAGACTCCATACAATGCATCTCAGTATTTGTTTTTTTTATTCTTAAACTTTATTAAACCTGACAACCTGACGATGCAACTGGATATAGTGCGTTGGAACACGTTGCATAAAAATGCAGTGCAATTGGTGTGAACTGAAGAAATGGGACATAAAGTAAATCACTTTGTCTATTCATTGGGACGGGTTTGGGCAACGCCGCCTAACAGAGCCGGTGTGAACAAGCCCTTAGAATTACTGAAATCTAGTCTTTAATAAGAGGACCTATCTGAACTATTCAATTTGAATTCAATTAGACAAGTCCTGGCACCACATACAGTAGTTAGAGTGTAATGTGTGTGCTGAGCTTAAACCATATCTAAACACTAGAAACGCTAGGGGGATAATGTCAATTAATTGTCAATGTACCAGGCAAGCCATGACTGAGTGATTGAGGAAACCCTCCTGGCACGGCCAAGCATGTCTTACAGTCGAAGGTATTTTGCACTATGAAGTTGAGGACATGGACCAGGCAAGGCTTTGGGCCCTTGCGCTAAATAGTTTTTTTGATGGAAATAAAGCAGATTCTGCAGTAAGAGTGTAATGTGTGTGCTGAGCTCAAAGGAGAACTGTAGGGTTAGGGCTTTTCCCCATAATTCTCCTAAGGGTAACGGGAGGACACAAACTAGCGTCCTCCCGTCACCCTAAGCTCATTATACCGCGAACTACAGCTCGCAGGTATACCGAGGCGCTCGCAGCCGGAACGGATCCCGACAATTATGTCTGGATCCGCCCAGCTGCGTGAGTGACAGCTGGCTCTGCCTATCTAGAGGCAGAGCCAGCTGTACCCGCCCCCTCCCCTGTCCGTTCCGCCTGTCAGCGCTGGAGTGTCGGAGCGGGGAGGGGGAATCGAGCAGGATCGAGAGGTGAGCGAACGCCGGTATGTGTTCGCTCACTTCCCGATCTACTGAGCCGACCTGTGACAGTTTCATTGTCACAGGTCGGCTAGAACTATGAGGATGAGTGAAAAGCACCCACCTCATAGTTCTCCTTTAAAACGTATCAATACCCATAAGCAAAATATTTAGTATATTGCAGTTTACCTGTCCTTATGGTGGCTGCATTAGTTTTGATTAGGTTTTTTTTTCCTATATTTTCACCTGGTGATCCCGCCAGTAAGTCTGTTATTTTTTTTAACTTACAAGCTGTTCATCAAAAGTGGCAGATAGAGGTCCAAGCTGTTCCTCAAAACAATTAGATAGCCGGTTGAGACAAACCATTTAACACGGACAGGGGTGCTTACAATGGATAGAATTATTCATTTATACATAGTTACATAGTATTTGAGGTTGAATAAAGACATTAGTCCATCAAGTCCAACCTATTAGGATCTCATTCTAGGAGTACCAGTACCCCTGTATATTACCTGTACCCCTGTATATTACCTGTACCCCTGTATATTACCTGCACCCCTGTATATTACCTGTACCCCTGTATATTACGGTCCCTTAAGAAATCGTCCAAAAGTTTCTTGAACAATTCCACATTATTTGCTGTAATCACCGCCTGTGGCAGTGAGTTCCAGACCCTAACTGATCTTACTGTGAAGAACCCCCTTCGCCCCTTGTGCTGGAATTTTTTTTCCACCAATTTTAGGTGGTGGCCTCTAGTTTTTGTAATGGAGTTAATTTTAAACAGTTTATCGCTAATGTTGCTACCACCATTGAACATCTTGTACATGGAAATCATATCCCCCCTTAATCTCCTCACCTCTAATGTGAACATGTTTAAATTTAGTAGCCTTGTCTCGTAGCTCTGGTCCTCCATACCCCTAATTAGTTTGGTTGCCCTCCGCTGGACTTTTTCCAACTCAAGGACATCTTTTCTTAGTACTGGTGACCAGAACTGGACCGCGTACTCCAGATGAGGTCGAACCAATGATCTATAAAGTGGCAAAATTATAGACTTGTCCCTGCAATACATCCCCTTTTTAATACAGGACAAGACCCTGCTAGCTTTGTTTACAGCAGCCTGGCACTGCAAACTACCTTTCAGTTTGTGGTCTACAATGACCCCCAAATCCTTCTCCATTTCTGACTTCCCCAGCGGCATACCCATAATTGTATAACCCATTTGTTTATTTTTAATTCCAAAGTGCATTACTTTGCATTTATCGACATTAAACCTCATCTGCCACATTAATGCCCACTCCCCTATTTTATCCAGGTCCTCCTGTAATGTTATAGTGAAAGCTTTATTCCAAAAGGGGAAAACATAAACCTGTTGCTGTAACTGCTAAAAAAATGTGTTATCTGGAGTTCGGCTTTGATTTGTTAGTCAAGACCATCTAAATCTGCATCTAACACCTCCCTCCCCACAGGGTGACAAGCAGGGCCGGATTTCCCACAAGGCCAACCAAGGATCGGCAGCAGGGACTAGAGGGGCAGCGGGGTGTGGAATTCCTATATCCCGACGTCCAGGACACGCAGTTTCAGGCGCAGGGCGGGTAGTTGTTTTCTGCATTTAGCCCTGCTTTGAGCAAGCAGAGCTAAATGTACAGCAATGTTGCCGAGATCACTTGTATGGAGCCTGCAGGTCTGCCAGTGTCCATTGGCTGGGGGTGTTGGCCGGTAGGGGTGCGCATTGAGGAACCTGGCCTTGGGGCAGCAGAGAGAGTAAATCTCTAGTAACAAGGCTGCTATCTATCGGTGGCTCTGTTCTTCCTCCATAGTGTGTTGTCACCCGAGGGCAGGAAGTGTGTTAGTGGCTGGATCATCAGGTTAAAATAAAGGGGGAAAAAAAGCCTAAAAAAGAAAAATAATACATCCACCACATTTAAAGATTAAGTTGCGATATATGATTTTTTTTGTTTTGGGGTTTATATACGCTTTAATACGAATTTCCCCTCACCTTGAGGAGATCGCCTCATTCCCTGGACAGGAAATCTCCCTGATGGGACAGAGACAGCAGTTCAGTAAAAAGCCTGACAACAGTTGAAACTAGGGATGTACCGATACTAGTAATGGTATCGGTGCCGATGCCAAGTATTTGGCCAAGTACTCCTACTCGTCCAAATGCTCCGACGTCTGGCCTGATACCTGAGCTTCCGGAATCAGGAAGTGGGGCACTTGCTGATGAGGGAGCATGGAGCCGGCTTCTTGGCCCATCAGGGATCCGGGCAGCGGGTAATGACTTGCCGCCTAGCTGCCTGATTGGCCAGCTTCTCGACTGACCAGGAATTGATTGGCCAGAAAGCCGGCTCCATGCTTCTCCATCACCTGGTGTCGAGGGGGCATGGAGAAGGCTTCCCTGCTTATCGGGAAGCCGGGTGGCGAGTCTTTACACGCTGCCCATCTTCCCAGCTAAGCAGGAAGCCAGGTGGCGAGTCATTACAGGCCACCTGGCTTCCTTATTGGGATATATACTTCCTGTATCGGTATTCGGTATCGGCGAATGCTGGAAAAAAATATCGTACTTGATACCGAAAAAAACTGTATTGGTGCATCCCTAGTTACAACCATTCCCTTCTCTATTAACTTTATATTTACTATATGGTAATTCCCAATGACATAATTCTTGATGAGTGCTGTAAAAACATTGGACCATAAGTAATAAAGAACCCGGCACAGTGCCGCAGTCAATCAAAACTTCATCAAAATAGAAGTTTATTACATGAGTGACCCTGCAGTTATTTTATCTCAGAAACATCTTTCCAGAATCTCAGTTTGTGGACATTTCGGAGTATCTTTAATTTTAGTGCTTCGGTCCTTATGCCGTAGACGATGGGGTTCACAATAACCGACGTGAGGAGTCCAGTGATGGAAATAAAAACATGAACCGGGACAGTAATCGTCCCCCCGCTCAAGCGGTACCTTAAAAACACGAACAAAGCGGCCGTCAAGAAAACAGAGAAAGTGATGATGTGCGTGGACAACGTGTGCATGGCCTTCAGGCAAGCCTCTTTGGAGAGCTTTAGACAGATCAACAACGTCCTCACGTAGCAATATACGATGACGAAACAGGTTCCGAAAATGACGAGCAGAGTTTCGACCAGGCCAAAAATATTATTAACCATGGCTGAGTTCCCACAAGCCAGCCTGACAAGGGACATGTTGTCGCAAAAAATGTTATTAATGTTGACCCCGCAGAATGTCAGGTTGGCCGTCATGATGAGCGGGACAACTACGAGTACGAAGACTGAAATATAGATAAGTGCTATGTATTTCAGGGCCCTCTCATTGGTCATTAGGGTGGCATATCTCAGTGGGTAGCCTACAGCCAAGTATCGGTCATAGGCCATGGCGGTAAAAGTGAAAATCTCCACAGTGGAAAAACTTTGCACACAGAATACTTGCGTTAGACATTCATTAAAGGAGATGGTTGAGGATCCATTCAACAAGCTGATTATAAATGGGGGCAAAATGACTGTATTTCCAAATACACCATTGAAGATCAAGTTACCTATGAAGATGTACATAGGCTCATGAAGGCTGACCTCTATCCATATTACATACACAATCAGACAACATAAAAGCATTGTAATCAAATAGAAGAGAAGGGCTACAGAAGCATAGAGGAACCGGAATTTCTCCAACTCTAAGAGTCCTAGAAACACGAAAGATGGGCCAAGTTTAGTGACATTCTCCATTTTAAATCTGCGATGAGTTCCAGCAATGTCAAGTCTGATGAGTCCTTCTCTCTATAAATGATAATGTTCCATGTTCATGGCAGGAAACCTACATGGTGTTTGAGGAGATCTCTAGAACGTCTGTGACTGCAGGACATGTGCAATGCTGAGTAGACTTCCTGAGGTTTTTATAAGCCATTTTCACACGAGGGGATTCGATCTCCTAAGAATTTCAATATCGGTTTAAGCTGACTGGAAAAAAAAACATCATTTGTATTTTTTCTATTTATATATTGCCTAGAGAGGGAACACTCAAGTGTATTATATCAAATGCATGGCAAACAGTATAATAAAATCAAACTAATGTAATAGCAGCAATAATAAGACATCGAAATTATCATATCATACATGATTCTAATACTGTTACTACTACTACTAATAATAATATCAATAATAATAAAACATATTTTCCATTAGCTCAAGTATATGTAAAACCTAGCTAAATGAAAAGGAGGAGAGAAAGCTGTTTCCAGATGTATGTGTAGCACTATTGGTAACCTCCTGGCATATAGTTGGCTTTCTGCTACTCAGTAGTGACATTCCGAATGACCCAAAACCACTTACTTGGCAATACATTTCCTAGGTACATTCTTCTCAGGGTGAAGGTCTTGTCATTGGGTGGTATGAATGATGGGCACCTGGCACTTTGATTAGATTTTAGATATTTGAACTGCACGTGCTTGAAAAATGGAGGGAAGGAGGGTGAAGAGAGTACGGGATACCTGTAGGTTTACATCAAAACACTGTCCTTTGGTCTTCTGAATAGTCTTCTAACTTTTTTTGTTTCTCTCTCCTAGGGCTTTTCTGGCTGGATACTTAAACTTGAAAGTTGGCTCCTTGACAACTGAGGCTCCTGTGTATACTCAGTCTTAGACTTCAAGACAGGACAGCATTGGGGAGGTTCCTGTGTAGCTTCCCAACTCAGCAAGTGACTCCCCACCTCCATGCGGGGGACACCTGCAGCTCTGATTTCTCCAGGCCTGTAGCCAGGGGCGTAACAACCACCATAGCGACCCAGGCGGACGCTATGGGGCCCGGGGCGTAGTGGGGCTCGGCCAGATGCCGTGCGGGCCGCCTAGGTTTCTATGGGATCCTCTGCTGGTGGCTTTCACTGGCGGCTGAAGACGAACAAGCTGCTCTTCAGATCACTGACAGTAATCTGTGCAGCAGCGCGTTCCTCTCCACAGAGTCAATGAGAGCCAGCAGCGGCAGTGGAGGAGGAGGCAGGGCCATGGTGGGCAGCAGGGGAGGAGGCTGGGCCTGGTGACAAAGAAGGAGGCGGGCCCGGTGACGGAGGAGGCGGGGGCCCATCAGCGACCGTAGACGAAGAGGAGGCAGGTTCACCCTCAGGTGGGATCTCGAGTTCACTTCTCGACAGTTCACTTCTCGATCTTGTCCCTGCAGAGAGCCTTGACTGTCACTTACGGCTCCGTGCAGGGATTCCCCCCCTCCCCGCTCCCATCCTCCAGTGCTGACTTCTTAAGAGAACTATGGGGAAAAACACTTTAGTTCTCCTTTAATATTGAATGTTAGGAATACCTCTAGCACATCCTGCTGGAGCAAGCTCAACACAGCAGATGACTGGGAATAATCACTCCACACTTAGAGAACTCTAGCTAGTACACAGCTAAGCTGACTAACCCCACACTGACAGATTACAAATATACAAAATGGCATTTAGAAAAATACTACATCCATACTACAAATACATATGTATTTGCTGTTGCACCCATTGTGGCTCAAAAGTAGCCAAACATGTAGCTTTAACAGAACTATCCTCATGCGCGCGTGCTTGGCTTGGCACTGGCACATGGAGTGATCACATGCTTCATCATACCCAGAAGTTCCTGCATTTTTTTCTCCACCAGCAGCGGATCAAAATAGTGGGGTGATGGAAGGGTATGTACTCCTTGGGAAAGGAGTTATAAAGCAAACACGTTGTCTCCAGCAAAGTAGCCTCAAGTGAGTAACAGGCAGTGAAGGATTAGTTGGCCGACTGCATGTAGAAGGGAGAGGAGAAAATCTAAGTTGACGAGCATAAAGAGCAGCTAGGAAGAAGGTTGTTGATGACCAGGAAACCTTGTGGATAATACCATGGAGCTGCTGTTCAAATCCCTCTAGCAACACTGCCCACAGGCAAAAGCAGCGGTTACCCCAAGGCAAGTTCAGTCACCTAGGTGTGACACTAGAGTTGTGATCTACAACCTCTCCAAGAAGCAAATGCATTGTGGAAAGGCTAACATCTGCTTGGCTACCATGGTCATGCACAAGCGCATGATTGTCAGGCAGGGAACCAGGGGTGCCACCTCACCTCGTGGCCGCCAGGCATGGTGTAGGGCACGGGCTCTCCTTCGGCTTAGCAGGACTCCTGGTGGCATGGTTGCGGGTGCGCATGCGTGGTAGTGCGCCCGCGGCCATTATTGTCGTCAGGTGTGGGCCTTGCTGCGGGAGGTTTCCGGAACACACCTTCAGTTTTTTCCCTCCCGCTATTGGCTCCTGGACAGGGAAGCCTCCTGGTTGTCTCGGCGACCAGGGGCGGTCCTGGTTCCCACTGGGTTTATATTCCAGTCAGAGCCCTGGCTTATTGCTAAGTTATACTACCTATATGGTGCAATGACCTAGCCTCTCGTATCGAATACTGATGCAGCTCCCTGACCCCTCATCTGAACTCCTGGTTATTGACCCCTTGGCCTGTCTTCCCGCTCTTGATCCTAGCCGCCAGTGGCGTAAACAGAGACACAGGCGCCCGGCGCAGAACAAAATTTTGCGCCCCCCCCCCCCAGGTCTCAGGAAGCTGTCTCCTGCAGAGACCCCCACAGACCCTGCAGTCTGCCGGACTGCAGTCTGTGCAGGATCTGTGGTGGGCTTTGCAGGCTTCAGAGACCCCTACGGATCCTGCAAAGCCCCCCACGGATCCTGCAGAGACCCCCTGAGGCCCTGCAGTCTGCCGGATCTCAGGGGGGCTGTGCAGGATCTGTGGTGGGCTTTGCAGGCTGCAGAGACCCCTACAGATCCTGCAAAGCCACCCACGGATCCTGAGAACCCCCCACGGATCCTGCAGAGACCCCCTGCGGCCCTGCAGTTTGCCGAATCTCAGGGGGGTTGTGCAGGATCTTTGGGTGGCTTTGCAGGCTACAGAGACTCCTACGTATCCTGTAAAGCCCCCCACAGATACTCCAGAGACCCCCTGAGGCTCTGCAGTCTGCTGGATCTCAGGGGGGCTGTGCAGGATCTGTGGAGGGCTTTGCAGTCTGCAGAGAGCCCTACGGATCCTGTAAAGCCCCCCACAGATCCTGCAGTCTGCCGGATCTCAGGGGGGCTGTGCAGGATCTGTGGGGGGCTTTGCAGACTGCAGAGACCCCTATGGATCCTGTAAAGCCCCCCACAGATCCTGCAAAGCCCTCCCACAGATCCTGCAGAGTCCCCTGAGACTCTGCAGTCTGCCTGATCTCAGGGGGGCTTTGCAGGATCTGTGGGGGGCTTTGCAGGTTGCAGAGACCCCTAGGGATCCTGCAAAGCCCCCCACGGATCCTGCAGAGACCCCCACAGACCCTGCAGTCTGCCAGATCTCAGGGCGGCTGTGGAGAATCTATGCTGGGCCCTGCCAGCACAGTCGTCGGCACCCAATCAACGTTGCTTCTGGAGTCTCCTCCATCTTCCGCCTTTGCCACGCCTCCTCCGCTACAGTCATCGGCCCTCCAGTCTCCTCCATCTTCACCCCACCTCTTCGATCTCCGCCGGGCGTCCGCCCCATCTCCTGTCTCCGCCCCCTGCCGCTCCGTCCCTGTCTCCTCCTGCTCTACCACAAAGGGCATTCAGCTAGTGCGTCCGCCCCATCTCCTGTCTACGCCCCCTGCCGCTCGGTCCTGGTTCCCGTCTCCTCCTGCTCTACCACGGAGGGCATTCAGCAAGTGGCGTAACTCCCCCCCCCCCGGTTGTTACGCCAGTGCTAGCCGCCTGCCTCAACCCGGACTGAACTTTGACTAGGCCTTTTGGAATTTCCCTCTTTGTACCTCGTTGCGGATCTCCGTTGGTCTTTTTTCCTGCCAGTGGGTTCTATTCCACGTCTTGGGCCAGTGACACCCCTGACAATGATGAAGCCACACAGAGATTGGTGGAAGCAGCACCTGACCTAGGCAAGGTAGACTTGTCATGTTTCCCTTCCCTGGCTGGTGGTGCAGAAAAAGCATGTCCGGCGTCTCAATGTGAGCTCAGCAAAGCTGCTGAAGCTATAACTGCTCCCATGTAAGCTGGTGAAAGCAACCCCTTTCTACCACTATATGGCCTGTGCTGCCCTAGGTAGCACATACCCAATCACCATTGCTTTTCATCATTGCCTGTCCCCTACACATGGTCTTCCCTCCAGGGTTTTCACCCTGAGAGGAAGTATCTGTAACCACCAGTTTTGTCCTTAGGCCTGACAACGTAGAGGTATGGGAGGTTGTGGGGCTCTCCCCTCCTGGGAGGTATACCTAAGATACTGCAAGCCTTGAGGTAGCACATGGAGGTGGTGAGTGGCTGACTAAGTTAGGGAGCTACACAAGAACTTCCCCCTTGCTGTCCTGTCTTGAGCTCTAAGACTGAACATACACAGGAACCTCAGTCGTCAAGGAGCAAACTTTCAAGTGTAATTGTCCAACCAGTAAAGCTCTGTGAGAAAAGAGCTAAGAGAGTTAGAAGACTATGCAGAAGACTAAAGGACTGTGCTTTGATGTATACCTACAGGTATCATGTGCTACCTTTACCCTCCTTCCCTCCATTTGTTATAAAGTCCTCAGTCTCCTTTTCTGCATCCCCAGCACTCAATGATCAGGAAGCTCTCAGTACAGATGCTTCCAGTTCAATCTGGAGCAATTATTTACTATCAACCCAGTCATGAATGGACAGGAAGCCTCTGTACTGAGCTGCTTCCTGTTCATTCATAAAGTGAGAAGATAGTAAATATTTACTATATCCCCATTCATAAATGAACCAGAAGCGATGTAGAGCACTTCCTGTCCATCCATAACTGAGGATATAGTAAGCATTAGACATGTGCACTGCCAAAAAATTCGTTTCGTTTCGTTTTAAATTCGGATTTGTGTTATTTCGTTTTTCGGGTGTGAAAGTCAATTCGGATTCGGAATTCGGACGAAATTCGTTAGTGGTAGTTTGTTCGCACGTTCGTTTCATTTTAGTTTCTTATTCGTTTCGTTCATTCGTTTGCAGCAAAGTGACATTTGAGGGGGGAAATGGTTTTCTCCAACGAACGAAACGAATAAGAAACAAAAACTAGACGAACGTTCGAACGAACTACCGCTACCGAATTTCGGAAACGGAAATTCGGATTCGTTTGCATTCGTTATATCTGTAATTTGGAATTTGGATACATCCGAATGTCCGAAAATTCGTCCGAATTTCGATTCGGAACGAAACGAATTGCACATGTCTAGTAAGCATACTATATCCTCAGTTATTTACAAACACTGAGTGATCAGTACTGATCGCTCAGTGTTTGTGCTTCGCTCTATATCTTGACTGCTCTGCCCCCTCCCGCCTGTCACAGAAGCCAAGCTGTCCTCCCAGAACCATCCCCCTTGGCCTCCTCACAGCTTCTCTCCAACTTTGCTGGGCACTGGCAGCTAGATCAGCTCTATGTCCCCTCCGATCCCCGCTGCCTCTGTCGACACAGGCGGGGGAGAGCAGCAGGGATTGGCGGGGGGGGGGGAAAGACCCAAAGTTT